GTTTAATTCGAGTAGAGTTAGCTGACTATTGGAATTACATAGCTTTTAGCATTATTAGAGCAATTTGTTAGTGCAAGGGTTAGCATGTGGTAAAGAATAGTTTGGATCTATCTTCATTTTTGAAATTGCTTGTTAACAGGTTTTAAACTTGAACTCAGAATATGGTAATGCATGCTAGCTCTTGCCTATGTTTTTCCGGAGTTTCTTAAAAGAACTAGGCCTGGCTTGGGCCAAAATGGGTCTGCCAGTTAGGAAAAGGGCTGTTTAGGCCTATTTCTGCCTTTTTGTGACTTCTAGGCCCAACTTTTGGGTCCTATCATATCCAGGAAGTTTTTCTTTTTAACTTGTCGTTATTTTTGGTAATAGATGTAATGAAAAGGGATTTATCTTTGAGTTTTGATTGGTCATCCTCATTAATGTTGGTTTTTTGGGTGCCATGCCCGACTTGATCTACGTTCTTTCTTCTGAAAGCCTTCAAATGACATTGGGCCTATAGCTGGCTCAAACATGTTTCAATTAATTAAGCACTTGGTCTCAATCGACGCGGGTTCATTAATCATTAGGATTAGATTGAATATTAACCTAGAATAAATTCGAATTCTCTTAGTCTTCTCTAATTAATTAGACTCTTTTAAGTTAGATTGGGGGTATGCCATATCCACAAAACTTATAATTTATGGCCCTCAAAGACTAGATCAAGAAATCACTTTAAGAATGATTTGAGCCATGCCATGCCAAATCGAACTCTCAGGCCCATGGCCCTCATTTAATTAATACTAACTTTTTTTTAATCGGGGTGTGCCATCAATTGAATTTTGCATGGTCCTCGCAAACTTTGTTATTAATTTGAACCTTCGTAGTTGCTTTAGGCGCATTCTTTAAATTGATTGTCTTTTAATTATTAACCTTGGGTGTACATTTCATGTGACCCAAATTTAATTCTTAACAATGTTAAATAGAATGTGTCGCTAACCGCGGGTGCATTTCATGTGGCGTGGTTCAAGGTATATTTTAAATAACATTGAATCTCCCTAAAAAGTGTTTTAAAATAATTAAAAGCGGCTAAAAGGTTAAAAATGCACATAGGTTTAAAAGTGTTTTAAAATCAGATAATTAGGCCAATATTAACAATTTGAGCGACTGTGCTAAAATCACAGAACCCGGGAATGCCTAACATCTTCTCTCGGGTTAACAGAATTCCTTACCCGGATTTCTGTGTTCGCGGACTGTAAAACAGAGTCAATCTTTTCTCGATTCGGGATTTGAAACCGGTGAATTGGGACACCATATATTATCCCAAGTGGCGACTCTGATTTTTAAATAATAATCCCGTTTTGATTGTTACTTAAATTGGAAAAACTACCTTATACCCTTCCGGGGATAGTAAAAAGAAGGCGTAACAGAGTTTATGGGGTTTCTATATTCATATGCAACAACTAAACTTTCATACATGTAATTCCATCTAGTTGGACAACGTTAGGAACCTTTCTTTTTCTTAGGCCAAATTCGTCGCATCTTTTAAAATATTCTCTAAGTCTACTTCCGGTTTGAATAAAAAAACCAGTTAAGAGCCATTTTAACCTTTTCAATTTCAATATTTAAAATTATCATACCATCACCCACAATTTAATGGTAAATATGATAAATACATCTAACATGAAAAATATTACTAAATGGAGGACTTAGTGTAGTGGTAAGCAAGGATACAATATTTGTATTACTAGTAGCATTATCCATTAAAACTGGCATTATTTTATCACTAATGCAAAATATCTACAAATATCCGTAACTGTGCTAGCAATAAACTGCCATGTGTGACGTAAATTAATTATTCTATAAGCAATAACGCGCTTTTGCATTATCCAGTCCTCGACAATCCAATGACTGGTAACAGTAAGGTAATCACAGTCATTACCACTTCTACCAATATCAGTTGTAATAGCAACACAAAATTTATATGAGTAAATAAATAGAGCAAATATTATTCATATTCATGTTTATATTTATAAATATCGCTCTTTACGATTGTGCTAGGAAAACCTTTATAAGTAGGATTAAAAGAATTTCTAATATAATGCACAAAGTGAGGGTCAGAAGAAAAACTATAGGATAAGCACATAACATTAACCATTTTTGCCATTTCTTCCTGATCTTTTTTGGATCATAATATAAAATATGACTGGTAATAGTGTTAATTTCCGGTTGAAATTGATTTGACCCAGTACTAGGGTCAGCCTGACTAGGAGTAAGTACACTTGTCCCCTCGGCCAAAGCTTTCATACGAATATATTTGACTTTATCTTGAGGGTGTATCCATATGTATCTAGACAATAGTTCCCCCCTCTCCTCCCCCCCTCCCCCGACCTCCAAAATATTTAAATGCTAATTTTTTGCCACAAGTTTTACACTTAGCCTTATTTTGTGGAATTAGTTGAGTAAAAACGGGCTAAATAATAGATGTTTCTGTCTGTTTGGTACGTTGTCTAGAAAAAGTAGGGACAGTAACAGAAGTATCAGACGGGGCATCATTGGATTATCACTAGTTGGGTTAACTTCAGGAGCATGACTAGTGGGTGCATCGTCATCCGGTTGAGTTTCATCAAAATCTATTTCCTCCTCATCATTTTCATCAATAGTTGGATTAGAATAAAGAGCATTCATTAATTCATGGTTTAATTGTTCACCAGCTCCAACATTATGGCAAAATTGACTCTCAGTAAATTGTAATAAACTATTATCGCTATCAAGAATAGCATGTGTAGGACGAATATGGGGTTTGGGTCGGGGAGTCGGGGGCAATGGAGGAGGAATAGATTCGCCACTCTTGGATTTTCCCTTATTTTTACCAAAATTTTTTTAAGGAAGTCATCGTAATTAATCAAATAATAAAAAATAAATAAAAAAAACTATAATATTAAAAATTAAGAGTTGGAACGAGTTTACCGAATTGACGAACAACTTGTTGAAAATTGATTATCGTTGAAGACTTGAAGACTTCAATTCACCAACTTCACAATTTTTTCACAAATTCTAACAATAAAGTAAGCAATAGTAACAATTATAGAAGAAAACTAGAAAGAGATTGATGATTTTGTGAGAAAAATAAAAGAATGAGAGGTCATTTATAGTTAAAAAATAAGAAAAAAGTGTAATTATAAAAAATTTTGGGTTAAAATAAAGTTGAGGGGATGGAAGGTTAAATGGCTATTTTGTAAATAGCCAACGACCAGATTTGTACAAGCCCAATGGTCCAGTTTTTTTCAATTATGACCACTGGGACCGTTTGGAACTGTTTAGACACGCCAAGGACTGGTCCTGTCCCGATCTCGTGGACCTTTTTTGAAGAACCGACCCACCCCCACGGTCTCGGTTCTACCGGTTACGACCCATTTAGGCCCAGAAAATCGTTTGGTCCGCGGTCTCGGGCCTAGATCGGCCCATTTGCCAGCCTTATGCTAACCTCAATAACAAGGTTGAAATTTATCTAAGTCGTTTTAAGTAGCAATGCCATACAACATAGATAGATGTTTGTTTCGGTGTGCTAAGATAATCCTAAACCAGGACATCTAGTTACGTACTGGATTTGCACAAACATGATGAACGGTGTATACGCAATGGTGAGTAATGAACACTTTTATGTAGCGACTTACTTTTCTGTTTAGTCAACTATAAATCTCAGCCTTTCGGTAACAAAATTTGCACTCTTGCCGGAGTACTAGGGGCATCTCCAACCTTTATCCTATTTTTAGTTTTCAAAATGAGGATTTTTCCATTTTGGAAATAACTTATTCCAATCATTCCCCTATTTTTTTCCCCAAACTTTTTTATATTCTTCTCTCTTCCATTAAAACAATTCCATAAAATTTTAAATAATATAATTTGTTAGAAATTATTATAAATTAACTAATAATTCAAATAAAAGTGAAATCATTGCGATACAAGATTAATTAAATACATATTACATAACGATAAAATTCATTCGAAATACTACATAAATATTCAACTTCAACCTCTAATATTCTCTCATAAATGATCTACTAATGCATTACGAAGTGTGAAATGAGCATCTTTGTCCTTAATTCTTCTATGTCGAGCTAAAAATTCTTGAAATCATTGATTTACATCTACTGTCATTTCTACTGTTGGAGTTGGACATTTCAATTTTAGCAACATCTAATATTTTATATTCGCACCTTTCAATTTTAGCAATATCTAATAGTTTATATTTGCACCCTTTATTTTTTGAGATAATTATATATTTTTTGTACAATTATAACTTATAATAAAATTAACTTACAATTTTACTTAAAAATAATAAATGCATGAAAATTAATTTATCAAAATTATACACCAAAGTTAAGATGTAAAATTAATATTATAAAGGCATTACAGAAACATAATTAGGTATATATAAAAAGATAAATTAAAAGATTAAATAATAAAATAATAATAAAAAAGTGATGAATAGTAATGGGGGAGATGAGTGTACCCCATATTTGAGGGAACACTATTCATCCCCCATTTTGGGTACAAAAATGAAAGAAGGTTGGAGCTAAATTACTTCAAAAATTGTCCCCATCACAATGAATGGGATAAGGTTGGAGATGACCTAAAAACGAAAGTTTAAAAAGAAAAGTGTCATGTAGCAACAAATAGTATAATTAAATCAAGACACGTTAAGAGTAGCAATACATTGCAATACACTGGAATTACCTACCAGCAGGAAAATGCAAAAAAATCAACGAAGCATAAGTCAAGATGAGAAGAAAATTAAAACAGCTGACATTTTGTGTTAACTATTAGCACGGATGGTCGAGAGTCTGACTGAGGTGGAAGCTCAATCCAGTGCTGGTAGTGACGATACGCACGCTTATGTTAGATTTGAATCATGTGGCAGTTGATCAGGAACTAATGGTGGTGAAAAGATTGGGACAAGGGGTGTTCCAGGGGGTAAATCTTGTTCTGGCGGTGAAAATATATAGAATGGAGGTGTATCAAACATGGGGACAAGAGGAGGTGGCGGTGTTAATAACTTATATGGAGGTGGAGAAGGAACTAGTGGTGGTGGAAAGATTATAAATGGAGGTGGAGAAGGAACTAGTGGTGGTGGACGAATTATAACTGGTGGTCGTCTTGGTGGAGGTGGCGACGGAACTAGTGGACGACGTCGTGGGGGAGGTGGGGAGGGAACTAGTGGACGACGTCTTGGGGGAGGTGGGGAAGGAACTAAAGGACGACGTCGTGGCATTGATCTTCTTCCACTACTGCTTCTGCTCCTACTGCCGACGCTGTTGCTTCTGCTTTGGCTGTTTAAGATCTTCTCTTCTTCATCTTCTCCTGCCTTTTCATGTTTGTTTTTTGGGTCATTTCTGGCTTCAACAAATACGTTTGAACTAATGATCAAGATCAGAACTAGCAAAATCAGACTAAAAATGTTGAGTTTCATCTTGATCTATTGTCTTTGCTTCCTGTTATTAATTCTTCTCAAATAGTTTAGCCAGAGTCCTCCTCCGTGTTCTATAGGAGTAGTAAATTTATAGAATTATTTATATGCGTATTGGTAAGTTGGTAACCATTGTGCAGTAATTACCATTGTGCTTAAATGCATGGCAGGTAACAAGTAGACACCAGACGACCATCAGAGGTGCAATAGTCAATGCATATAACAATGTCACAAATATCAAGAAATGGAGATTTGGACGGAGTCTATAAATGTCTATTCCCTTCTTCATTTTCTGCATTTCAACGCGGTTTAATTTAATGATCCATCAATGGGAATGATAGATCAAGTTTAACATACAATGGCCCAAATTATTTTCTTTGTGATGGTATTTTATGAGCTTATTCATTACAGACGTCTCAAAATTGTAAAATCTTAATTTTTTATTACCAAATGAATTTTTTCTTCATATCTAATACTCCAAAGACATGGTTGATTTTGACTCTTAATTGAAACGTTAACACTTCTTTTTAAAGAAAAAATAGGTGAAACATTAACTCATATTTGTAATTGGCACTTATTAATTTCAAGGATCATTATACCGAAAATCACTTTGTTGTTGAAGTTGGAAATGTGAAACGTGTTGGTGGGAGGAGTGGGAAGGATCAATGAGCATGCATGGCAACAATTTGCAGTAAACGAGTTAGTGGATGGGTGGGTGGACACTAAATGTGGAAAAAGCATTGTTCTATGTGCCAATACTATCACAAATGGTTGTGGGCTGGTGGCGCATGGGAATGATCCTTTCAAACTGTATTGAGAAACAGGTTCTCTGTCAACTCCTACGGTAAGCAGCAGATTATAAAATTAAATAGTATAAGAAATTAGGTTCTTTATTTGTACCCACAGTAAATTGGCAGTAAATAAAAAACACGCGATATTTAAGTGAAAAATTCATTACTTAAGGGATTAAACACCACGACGTACCCTAGTAGGATTTTAACTCTACTAAATCGAGCAAACTTCATATTACAACCTAGGAATTAACCTATTAATCCCTCACTAACTTGTAATACTTTATTACAAGCCACTTTGTAATAACTCTATTACAAAAACTTTGGTATCCCTCACTAATTTGTAACACACCTATTACAAATCACTTTGCAATACCTCTGTTACAAAGACTTTCAACTCAACTAACTTTAGCCAAGACACAAACACAATGGTTTATGATTTACAAAGGTTTCCTACACAATACTTCTAACTAAGCTAAGTAGGAATTACAAGTGAAGAACAAAATAACAAAGACTCAACAAACCTAAAGACTTAAGATATCTTCAATTTTTGGATCTGGTCCTTGAGGTTGCAGTAGCTTTATTCTTGAGAGATGTGTTGGCTAGCAATTGAGAGAATATTATCTTTTGATTTGCAAGTGTTAACGAGATAAAATCAATTGCCTCATGTTGATAATATGTGTGTGTGATATCGTCAAGGATGATGCAATAAAGTGCCCTTTAGTTTGGCCTTAGCAAACTACAGTTGTGCTGCTGTATTGCTGTCATACGGTACAGTGCAGTAGCTTTTACAGCCGTAGAATTGACTGTATAACGACCAGGGGAACTGATTCCTATCTGTTCCCTCTGTTGTTTCCTTATCTGATTTTATTGACAATTAAACCAGACATCTGACTAGTTACTCTGAATGCAAGGAAACTAAATATATCAGATTCTTTATTTTGTTCTCTCATAAAATTTGTCAAATCATCAAAATAAAATGCGCGTAACTTATCAATCCTTAATAGGAGTTTCGGTTTCTAATATGGAATTCTTTTTATAGGAAGCACTTTCTAGTCTAATGAGCATTATGGTCAAAACCCCAATGTTAGTAAAAAACAAATATTAGCATCAGCAAACTAAGCCAGCATTGAAATGTGAACGAGCAAGAAGTGCTTTTGGAATTAGTTTGCCTGCCAATCTCAACTTTCCTACATGCATTTATCTTCCATTAGAGGGTAAAAGGGTAAATAGTGTATCATTCCAGATCTCTCTACTTCTCTCAATGTTCTTTCAGTTTTTTCTTCTTTTGGATTTGATTCCTTCTTACAGCCCGTTTGGCCAAGCTGCAAAATCAGCTTATTTTGAGAAGTATTTTTTTTTTCAAAAGTGTTTTTCTCAAAAGTACTTTGAGTGAGAAGTAATTTATGTTTGGCTAATTAGTTTGAAAAGCACTTCTGAGCAGCAATTAGTATTTGGCCAAACTTTAAAAAGTTACTTCTAAATGTATTTTTCTCAAAAGTGCTTCTCAAAAAGTGCTTTTGGAGAGAAGCTATTTTTTTCTACTTCTCCAAAACTGCTTCTGTTTCTCCTCAAAAGTACTTTTTTTCCTTGCAAAAGCTTGGTCAAACACCTCAATTTTTTGCCAAACAAAGTACTTTTGGACAAACAGACTATTAGTCTTGGCTTTTAATTGGATTCGGCTTTCTTGTTCCTTTAGGACTTTTGCTGCTTCCACTGAGTGGCGTAGAGCCTTATTAGGCCCAACAGATTGGGCTTTTCACTTTAGTTTGATCAAATAACAAGGGCTAGCCAATTTTCGGACTGATAATTGAAAAATAGTCAGCGTTTACAAAGTTATTAAAAATAGCCTTTATTTTGCTGCAAAATCAAAAGTTCCATCATAATATACTAGAGATTGGAGCACTTGTGTATGAACTTCCAGCATATTATGTTGGAACTCCAACACGTTATGAAATTCCAGCATGTTATGCTGGAAGTTCACATGTAAAAAATTCGAACTCCCGCATATTATGCTGAAATATTTTCCAAATTTTGAACAATAGTTTTGTTCAGATTAACCTTTACATAAAAAGTGGCTAAATTTCTATTACTTTAAAAACTGTGGCTCTTTTTTAATTACCACTTGTAAATCTGATTATTTTTAAATCTAACAAGGTCTAAAAATCAGCCAAATCCTAATTCAGCCTAACATTTCAAGTTTCGGGTATTTCAGGCCCAATTAATCATATTGTAGGGTATTCATCTCCAAAGCATGTATAATCTAACAGGATATTGCCTTATTCAGCTCTCTAAAAGGAAAATTCTTTAAATTAAATTCAAAATATTAACTGTTGTTCAGCTATATCATCTGTTATACTTTCTCAGAAGAAAATTCTTGCCATGTACTTTGATAATATAAATTGTCCTTACTATTTATTAAAGGTCCTCCCCTAAGTTATTTAATCCTTGCTGACCCTCTTGGCTCACCTAATCCCATGTGCAGGGATGGAACCTTTGGCTAATGGCTGAACATTTTCAGAATTGTGTTATTTCAATTAATTACAATTATTTAATAATTGTATATTAGAGTTGTCACACCCTTTTTTTAACCAAACTTACTAATCCTCTTAAATAAAAAAAAAAATTAGTAAAGCTCAAAAGGATTTTCAATTAGAAAGTGATAAAAATTTATGTTCTAAAGGATTGTTTCAGAGTCGCCACCTGACATTGGTTTCGGTGTGTCAGGCTACCGTTTTTAGAAATAATTTTTCCTTTTAAAACACTTTGGACTCAAAAACTAAGTCACCACCAGAGATTCGGGTAAGGGGGTTCATTTGACTCGGGGAGAAGGTGTTAGGCACTCCCCAAGTCCCGTAACTAGTACGGTTGCATACTTGATCTAGTCGGCTTTCAGAATATTCGAATTGAGGTAAAACAAACAAGCAAAAATAAATACAAAAAAGGGCTTGAGGTCGTCCCCTCCTAATAAAAGAAAAATAAAAATAAAAACAAAATAAACTACTACAAGCTCTACTTTTGGCCTCCAAATACAAGTACTACGGGGCATACCCCGGATAAAAATATATACAAAACTCTACGGGGCATTCCCCTGAATATAAACTAACGGGGACGACATTTCACCTCGAAAGAAACTAAAAAAAATAAATGTACTAAAGGTTTGCCTACCCAAGTATTTACGGCTTAAGCATGCTCCCATGATTAATTAGTTGAATAAAGTAATCAAATGATTAATCTCAGTTGTTACTGTGACGTTTACTAAACACTTCCTAGGCCTATGATTCAATTGGCTCAAAGAATATTGATCACACAAATTAATTCAACCTAACCCACACGAAATGATTGCAGTAATTAATTACGGAAACACTGAATTCCTACGTCAACTTCTCTTAGCATTAAAAATCCATTTAAGCTCTAAAATGACGACCATAGCAAAACATAAAGCAAATTTCAAACTCACATAAAATTCTATTATAACACAAATTCACTCACACAATAACATATACGAACAGATTTGAAGCATAAGATTTAGAAACGGACCTCAAATGAGCAAACTTCTTTTAATATATGAATTTGATTACATCTAACTCCGGCGAACCGAGCCTGAACCGTAGGGATGACATGGTAACAGATCGATAGGAACTCGAACGACACCGGGGAACTCGAACTCGAACGCCTCAACAAACTTCAACTCAAGCTAAATTCATAGTTGAAATCTCATAATCAGAACCTTCTTATTTGGTGAATCTTATATTTCCCTAATATGTTTCTATCCCTCATGTCCCTCCTCTCTATGTGTGTGTGTGTTTTTGTTGCTGTATCAGGCGACGGGAGGGAAGTGAGTGACTGTTGTAGCTTGTTTTCCGGTAAGCTGGGTAGCGGCCGGCGTGGTTTATGGAGGTAAAGGTGCCGCTGTTCTCAGTTCAGCCATGTTCTCTAGTGTCTAGCGTTCTTATGGTTGAGGGGGACAACTGAGGCGTGCTCGACAGCTGGGAGCTAAGGTGTTGCTGCAAGGTTTTTTAGGTGTCGCCGGAATTCCGGTGAGTTTGGTGGTGGAGTTAAGAGGGTGGCGGCTGGAGAGTATTAGGGATCTTCTAAGGTTAGGTCTTGTGTGTAGGTTAAGGTAGCTGCTCCTATGGGCTAGGGTTTTTTTTGTGTTGTAGTCTAAGGTTCAAGAAAAAGACCCTAGGGTTGAGGTGTAAGGGTTTAAAGAAGAAGGGGTAATGAGTTAAGTCTTGTTGGGCTTAAAAATTGGGCCAAAAGATTAAAAACGAACCTCTCTCATTAAAAATATGATAAACTAACCCAAAAGCTCACTCTTCCTTTTGAAAATGATATAAAATTTATAAATAAAAATATAAAGCTAATCATAATTTAGTTAAAACAAATA